TGCTCTGAAGGTGTTCTCTGGTTGTGTTTTCTGTTTTCTGTTACTGTTTTGGACTGAGATTCTCATTTTTATATCAAACAGGAAACATTAAAGCCCTGGCAGTGGCAATACATTTCAGTTTTGTATTTGGTTTGATTATATTTTTTCAGTTGAGATTTACCCTGGATACTTTATTTTACTGCTCCCGGTCACATGCACTTTACTTTTGGATTCAATTCATTAACTCAGCCCTGCTACTGTATAAAGAAATGCTGTTGCACAACACATGTGCGGCACTTTTGTTTACATTTCCAATAAAAGTGCGCCATACACTACATTTGAATTCATTAATTGGTTTTGCATATGACATGCAATTGATCATGATTAATCACATGAACTCATGCGATTAAGATTTTTTATTTTTGCCTAGCCCTAATTTTCACCGAACTAATACCTGAATCGGCAGAGAAGCAGAGCACCAGTGAATAATGCATCATATAATTAAAGCTGTAAAATTTATATTACCTTATTTTTTCCCCATGTCTTTCAACTGATTACCATTTTTATATGCAAAATCATTTATGAGCTTATAAACATGTTAAAACAGCGTTCGCTCATCATGGGATTACTCAGATATGTAATTATATCAGTGCATACATGACAAACAATTACACCCATACTGTCCTGCATTTTAATAGAAAATATTATGCAAAATCATTTATTAGCTTTCTAATAAATGTTCCCTCATAAAAAAAAATAAATAAATAAATAAAACATTCATGAAGTGGTTTTAGACGTCATCCTTGCATGTTTCAGTATTTTATCGATCTCTCCCGGGCTTGATTCAAACCCTCGTCACTAGCAAGGACCACGCCACAATAATGGAGTATTTATTGACGATGGATAGATGTGACGGTTCGGTCGAGAGAGTAAAGACAGACGGTGTAGTCGGGATAGGCCTGTATATACGGGGCTTCTGGGTCGAGCTGTGGTTCGTTGCAGAGGATGATGGAGAGGTTGGGGCGTGGTCCTGCTCCTGAATCTCTCGATCATATTAACTCCACTGACTGTTAACTGTAAGATTCTGTCCAAAGGTCCACCCCCAAAAGCCTACAAACATCACCGCAGTCCCACACGACAATTCTCCATAAACAACAAAAACATGATACAAATCTGTTCACAGCAACTTGACAAACCTGCTGAGATGTTCAAAAGTTTTTATTAAAAGAACACACCCTGGCTATGTTGTGATAGCGCTCTGAAGGGGGAGTGATTTAGCACAGGGGACAAAAGGAGGGGAGACTCAGAGCTTATAACAGGATTCTCACGGTCATGGAAATCCTGGAAACGCCATGGAATTTGAAAATCTCATTTTCTAGGCCTGGAAAAGTCATGGAATTTTAGTATCTCTCTTTAGTATCTCGGCGTTCTGTTAAGTTCTCATTAGGCTATTATGATTATTTCTGAATGCACCTTCTGTTTAAAAGAGACGACAATAAATGCACTGACAGTATTTTGAATGTTAAAAAACTATAATCCCAAACCATAAGGTGAGTGGAAAGGGTTAACATTTCATATTTAGCCCTAAAAGTGTGATGAATTCTACACATGTAGGTGCTGTAAAGTCATGGAAAGTCAATTTAGGTCATGAAAAAGTCATGGAAAAGTGAATGAAACAAAACAACACAAATGGGTGTGTTTTTGGTGAGGTAACAGCACTATTAACTTGGCTTAAATCTCAAAAGAGTCGATTTTACGTAATAAAAACATGTTATGACAGAAGGCCGCCTTGACTAGGGCCAACTATCCATTAGCGATGTGATGTTTGTGAATCAATCAACAATTCCTTAAAGTGAATGTCTGGAACCGGATCAAAAGAACCAAATCTTTTTCTTTCAAATTTTTTAATGCATTTTAATACTTAATGCCGAATCAACACTCGAATCAGCACAGAGGCAGAGCGTGAGTTACAGCTCTAAAATTTATATTGCCTTATTTTTTCCCCATCTGTCTTTCAACTATCATTTTGTTTAAAAGAGACGATAAATGCACTGACAGTATTTTGAATGTTAAAAAACTATAATACCAAACCATAAGGGAGTGGAAAGGGTGCTGTAAAGTCATGGAAAATTAACTTTAAGTCATGAAAAACTCACGGAAAAGTTTTGAAATTTTGTCAGTGAAAAAGAATGTAAACCCCGTTACTTCTAAATGGTGAATACTAGGGATGGGCATTCGATTACATTTTCTTAATCGATCGTCGGGAGAATTAACGATCGATTATCGATTTATCATTAACGTTTTTATATTAAAATGATCATCATTATTATTACTATCTGCACTACTAATCTGCGTAAATAAATTCAACTTTACGACATATAAACCGTAACCACTCTAGAGCCACATCAGCACGTTTGACATTATAATGTGTTTAATGCAGCTTAGCGCAACTCTCACAGAAACAAAACTTAAAACTGCATGGCTAATTTGCATAAATTAAGCAAAGAAAAAAAAAAAAAACAGCTCTTGTGCACTGATGCGGTTCAACTTCTGTCGGATTGAAGGACATGACTCAGTGGAATACAGGTTAGTGTGACCATATTTGTGTTTGTCAAAACCAGGACACCGTACGGGGGGAGGGAGGTGGGGCCTCGTCATCGACATTGAGCTACTCTCACCTGGCAAAGCTTTTTCATGTTTTTCAGTGTCCTGGTGAGCTTTTTCCCACTGGACACCGACACATATGTGCTGCTTTGTACACTGTGCACGTGGCCTCCCACTTGTCCATACCGGAACGGAAAGCATGGGATTTCTTGTGCAACTCATCATTAAATACGCATTTGCGCTTCGGCACATTGCAGGCTGACTGACTCCTTGTGTCTGCTCGCTCCTTCTGAGTGCACAGAGAGCTACATGTCCGGACCCCCGTTTGGTCACCCTACGCTACGCACAGCAACCTACATTTGGTTTGTCGATTAAAAATGAACACAATCGATGAAATTCTTAATGATCAATAATTAATCGATTAATCATGCCCATCCCTAGTGAATACAGGATTTTCAAGTCAATAAACGGTAACACGGTGATCTAAATATGTTATGTGTTTGCAGTTACACCCTTCAGAAGTACAATACCTCCTCTTTAAGGCCCCCTTGAGTGCTCAGAAAATTTGAGTTTTCACGTATCCCCTTTGCCCTACTTTTGTCCACCTCCCTGTTCTCAGTTATTATATAGATTAGTCTTATTATGATTGTGTTCTTGTAAACTGTTATTAAGATATTTGTCTCTGTTATTATGCAATGTTATGGTATGCACTGACAGGATGAGGTGTCACTCAGCAGTGTCTTCAGGAGGAAAATGCAAATCGTGAACTTCGAAAGTATGCAAATCATTACACACTATATATACTACATACAGTACACGTACTACATATACTACAAACACTACATACACTTCTGCACCTGCTACTCTGATAACAACTGCAGGGGAGATTATTCTGTTTTATTTCTACACTATTTTCTTATTTAAAAGGGCTGTATGTAAGATTTAGCTTTAAAATTCCACAAACATGATCTTTGACCTCCCCAGATATGAGAAAAACGTGTCCATCAAATACATTTTTTTTTACTAATAACAACCTGTAATGCAGATTTGTTCAGAATTTTATAAACATTTGATGTGATGGACAAGTTGTTTTGTTTGTCAAGACAATTATCCAGTCAAAAAATAGGACAAGCCTTGAGTCACTCATTGAATATCAGCATTGAAACTGGCAACAACAGTTGTTTTAAACCTGAAATGCTTCTCTCTGACTTGAATGGTCACCGCCTAAACCCCAGCACCTGCAGCCAGTCGTGTGTCAGTGCTAGTGCAGCCTCTACAGGTCAGAGAGGGAATAAGTCAAATAAAAGTTAGATATTAAGGCAAGGCAAGTTTATTTGTATAGCACAATTCGTACACAAAGTAATTCAAAGTGCTTTACAGAATAAGAAATACATTAAAATCATAATAAAAACAAATCAAAACATAAATAATCATGAAGATTAAAATTAAAAAAGAGAGACATAAATTGGAGAGAAGAGTGCGGAATGAAAACCTTTCAGTTATATGCACAGTTAAACAGAAATGTTTTGAGCCTGGATTTGAACAGCGTCACAGAAGAGTCTGTCTCACATGTTCAGGAAGACTGTTCCATTAAACAAGTCTAAAATGTTGTTCGATTCTTTTTAATTAAAATTCTATTCTTTTTAATTAAAAGTACGGTATGTGCGTCAACTCTCTGGCATGATTCTGTGGGAATAGAAAGTTAAATCACACTTTGGGATATTTTTCCACAAAATAGACACATTTGATGTGATAATGTGGAAGATTATAGCCAACATGCCCATGGAAACAAACAGAAAGCGTTTCTCCTGCAAGGAAGGATTAGGTTTGTGGAAATGAAAACCCTCTCACATAGGGACAGGTTTTTTCAGTGCAATAAACACAACCAAAGTGCCAAAAAAGGCTAAAATTTACATACTTTGGCTTTAAAGTGCATTTCTCATTTGCCTTAAGTCTTATGTCAAACGGATTAAAGCATACGCCTTTATTTATGCACAAACAAGCAGTATACAATACGTGCTGGTGCGTGCCAGGGCAGCGCATCCAGCCAAATTTCACCTTTTATGACCGTGTCTGTTGTCACTTAAGCTCTTTAAGGTAATGTTTGTTTTCCCACAGGCTGAAATCCAATACAGCATGACGGGACCGTATATGCAAATAAGCCACGACCCGAGAGTTCACTTCCTGGCATTGAGTCGTTGCAATATATACGATCTATGGTTACACCTTTGCCCTACTTTTTTTTTTTTTTTTTTTTTTGTCAAAATCCGTTAAAATTAATTTCAGATCTCACCTTTTCCCAGTACGAACCATCATTTCTATTAATATAATTGTTTGTCATTTTAGTGCCAAGCATTATAAGTGTTATCTACATAGCGAGCGGGCGGTTCGAGCGCGCTGATTGGCTGCGCGTAACTGGAAAAATTTGCATATAACGCGGTGTTGAACGCAAGCCTCTGCACCCCTCCGGAGAGCCAAGAATGCACACGTGAAGAGGTAAGCATTGTTTCTCTCTCTGCAGCACGGATTAACAATCTATAAACTCAGAATTGTGAGATAATTAATGAGAAGTGGTAAAATGTGTTAAAAGTTTTACGGGTTGGCGAGTGCGAACGGATGGTTCGGATGGAGACGTATCTGGAGATGCTTGGATAGCATGTTTAAAGGCGTGATTATTGTTTAAATAGTTTACTTAGCAACTCATTATTAATTTTTTGTATATATATTTTTTTGGTTTGTCATGATTTAATGGCGTAAGGGAGACGTAAAAAGATTACGTAAGCGATAAAAAATTTGACCACGTATAGTTATGAATGATATATATTTACCAAAATAATAACACAAAAATTAACAGGTGAGACCTTAGGATGCAATATTTATTTTGATTAGCCTGTAAAATCTTACAAATTTGAGAATTCAGAATGAGCATTTGCACATAAAATCTTCCCTTATTTGCATTTAGATTTTTTTTTTAAACAAAATGAACTCAAAATTAAGTTTTATTATAATTTAACGATCTAAAGGATATTAAGTAATAGAGTCAATACTCAATACTTATTCCTATACCACATTGATAATAAAAAACACTTTCTTTAGACAATACAATGTCATTTTCATCATTAAATAATAGTGCTTAGTTTTATACTAACATTTGGCTTTATATTTGTGTAATCCGTCAGTGTTCGGGTAGGTGGCACAGTGGTCTCGTACTTGTTCTGATACAGCTCAATATTGTTCATTTCAGTTCAGTGAATGTGACTTTTTTAGTATCAATTCTTGCTCCAATGAATATCTAGTTTCAGTACTAGTTTTAGAATAGATTAGTGTCAGATTTTCGATACTTCTGACCTAGTCTACAGAGATGGTTTGACCCAGTCTTTGGTGCTACATTACTTTCTACTAAGGAGTGTTTTATCCGGAAGGGCATCTGGCATCAAAACTTGTCCAAAATATAACACTATAACACATTTCTTATTGTTTTTAGATATTTCATTATGTACATCATGGAAGGCGGGGTAGAGGAGTTCATGCCGAGAGCTATAAGCGCTGTATATTCCACCCAGAGACCAGACTTACACAGTTCAGGCACAGAGGACCATCAGCAGAAGAGACAGGAGCAACTGGATCCTCACCTGCCTGTGTCTGGGGAAAGTAAAAACATACCGGTGGAAAGTTTGGAATTCTCCAGGTAATCACAGATGGTTTTATGTAGGACAACAGGGTCCCTCATGATTTAATTCAGTACAAAATACGTAGTTTATAATATGATAATGCCACATGGCAATGTATGGCAAGAATATGTCTCTAACGATATTTCTTTGTTAAACCACTAAACTTTATTTACCATCTTTCTACTCATTAAAACAATGAATAGAAACAAGCAACAATCAGAAAATAATGTATTAAAATACACACAAATATACTGAATACTGTATCATCAAGTATATCTATATGTTGATACCCTACAGGACGAGCATGGTCAAAGTTGTTACTAGAACTGGGTGTACTGGGAGTAGTATTTTTAATAAAAGAAACAGTACTCTTACTTGAGTTAAAGTTTTGGTTCCTCTTCCCACTGTCCTACCAGTAGAAAATGCTTTGTTTTTAACAATATGAAATTAGTTTTTTCTCATTCTTGTGTCTATCCTTTGAAAAAACTTTTTGTGATTTTGTGATGGTGCATTATTTATATTTCTTCCAATAATTTTCATTTTAAATGGTAAAACATTATTAGGCCTTCTGCTGGAGTATTAGTTTTGCCCAATGCATTTTTACCCTTACATGTGTCATTTCTTGGATCATTTCTTTGCACTTCTACTTGAAGTAACGTTACTCTTTTGTAAAATTTTTGACTTTTCCACTCACCTGTGATTGTTACTGTTCATATTTCAGGTTTGAGCTGGAAGAATCCAGCCTCAGTCCTCAGTCTGATGAAGAGGAGCTGGAGGCTCCGCTCCCCCTGAGGTCTGAAGAGGACTGGCTCCATTCTAACCCCGCTCATGGTAAGAGCTCTTATACTACACAATGTACAGGGCGTATTCAAGTACTTACTGTAATACTGAGGTGATTAGTTATCCTTAGTTAGTATCTGAAGTTAACTGTCAGTGGAGTAGTAGTACTTTAGAATGTAGAATGTCAGTGTGAAAGTAGAATTTTATTGGGTGTGAAAGTAAATTATATAATAATGATTCCAAAAAAATATTTGGCAATTTCTTTACTAGTATAGCAAATGTGGAATAGAGTGCAGTAGACAGCCAAACTCTCAGCTCGTAAAAACAGTCTGAACAGGTCAAAAACACCTCTGTATTCAAAACACAACAAAAGAGATTTGAACTATTTGGAGTTTTCCCAAATACTTTTTTTACTCTAACTTACATAATTTCTTGGATCACTAGTTTGTACATCTACTAGAGTAATATTATTTTGAAGTAATGTTACTTTCTCACTTACCACTACTTGAGTAATAGTATATTATAATAGTATATATAGAATTATAAATAGATAATATTTTTTCTGAGATTTTGAGACCACTCCCATTGCTCTAGTACATACAATGTTATGACCAAAAATGCATATTTGACCTTGACCTTCAAGTGACTTTGGCCATTTTTAACCTGTAACATCCAGTGTACCCCGGTTATGTGTGTGCCAACTTGTGTGATGATTGGGTGAATATTTTAGCCCACAGATGGTTCAGAAATTGTCGAAATTGCCTATTCTTTATAATGGCGTGACCTTTCAATTGACCCATGTAACCTCAAATGACCTTGGATCATCACCAAAAAATTTTTGCGACATCGGGCACAGGGGTTTGACCCACGTACCAAATTTGGTGACAATCGGTCCATAAATAGCAGAATTATCATGGGTGGACAGACACACAGACGCACACACAGACACACAGGGTGAATACAAAACCTTCAGGGACCAGGTAAGTAGGGCTGAGTGTCATTAACAAGTTGCCGATATGATACATACTAGAGCCCGACCGATATGGATTTTGCTGTGGCCGATATGAAACCAATATAATGGAAGTTGGAGCTGCCGATAGCCGATATAATCGCCGATATATTTAGTGATGTAAAAATTCACTGTAAATGTTGAATTGTTTAAAAAACTTAGGTTTGGCTCTGGTGGATTTTAAATTGGGTTTATTTAGGTAACATTTATTGTTATTCTGCCTCTTTACATCATATTTACAGACAGTAGGTTGACTTAATGGCATTTTTGCATCACATTCTAGACACTAGTGATGGGTATTCCAGTTCTTTTTAGAGAACCGGCTCTTTTGGCTCGGCTCACTAAAAGCTGCTGGTTCTTTTGGCTCCCAAGTGGCTCTTCAGATTGTTTTGTTGCAAGCAGGACTAAAGCACGTCTAAAGCAGGACTGAATCAGGACTGAACCAGGTCTAAACCAGGACTGAAAAAGGACTAAACCGGGACTTATTTATTTTATGCTAAACTACAGTCAAATATGCTCGTTTTTTTTTTTTTGTTTTTTTTATCCTACGTACACGCAAATTTCTCAAAGTATCGTTTTTAGCCGCTGCCGCTGTCAAACCACAAATCACGCGGCGTGAAGAGAAAAAAAAGTGAGAGAAAGAGAAAACACGGCTCCCAATAAGGATCAGGCTCCCGTCGTTCCCTTCAAAGAGCCGGTTCTAAGAGTCATTTCGTTCGCGACGGACCCATAACTAGTAAAGAAAGTAGCGCTATTAGCCTTTAGCCGTAAATACGTGCGCGCCGCGGTAATTAATTATATGCGCAAATGTCATAATTCACACATCTATTCACAGCTCATTTACATATCAGTGCAGGTCCAGTAGCAAATATACGGCCAATATAGTCACTTTAATAGACCAATAGAAAACAGTCTGTTTATGTGCGGGAGCTACAGCAGCTAACCCATAACAAATGACAAAAACTAGCTTCAGAGTCGACATATTTCCAACACTCACCGCTCATACAGGCTCCTCCTCACATCACAAGTCTGCACTAATAAATGTCCTTTTAATCCAGACTCAAACCGATGGTCCGTAAAAAGAATGTAATCTCAGTGTTTGGATCTGTGTCTGCAGGTGTAAACAAACACACGTGAGTGACGCGACTCTGTGGTGTGTTCAGGGACAGTACAGACACACAGACAAATGACTCTGTAGATAAATACTGATGTGGAGCCACATATTAGGACATTTATCTGTCTGTAAATTGGATTAAATGAACAGAATGTAGAGAGTCTAAGCTTTATAACGAGGTATAACATGCCCACGTGAAATATCGGCCCCTATCAGCAAGCATATCAGCCGATAGCCGATATGCCTAAAGTTGCCCATATCAGCCGATAATATCGGCCAACCGATATATCGGTCGGGCTCTAATACATACCCGGATACACAGCTCACGATATGATACATATCCTGATACAGTGAGCTTTCAGTTCAGTACAATATATTTCAAATTGATTTGATACGGTTAATTAAAAAATAAAGGCTAAATTATGGCTGTGACACTAAAAGTCTTTGTTAAACCACTTCTTGTGCAAAGTTAATATCAAACACACCCATTTTAATCATAAAAACAGTGAAACTGTCAAATGTGTTGCATAAAGGAATTTCCTTTCACTAAACAAGCAACAAAACTGTAGCTGTAACAAAATAGTTAAGTAAAATATACCAAAAAATACTCTTGGCGATATATCGATACAGCAGCCCACAATATCGATACTGTTTCATCACATTAAATGATACAGTATACTGATATTTCCATATTTTTGCGCACCCCTAGTCTAAATTCACAAAGGCAACACACTCAGCTGCTAAAATCATAGGACTTCCCACTCCCAAGATCGTAATGGGGCGAGTGGATGCATTACACTCTCCTACTCTACTACAGGAACCGTCTGCCCTCAGGACGGAGGTACAGGGCGCTCAGGTGCAGAAGAGCCCGCCTCGACCGAAGCCTGATCCCCTCGGTCCATCACATTTCAACAGGCCCCGCAGAGTGTATCGAAATGTTTGTTGTAATGTCTCTGAGTTTGTTGCTGCATACACCAAACGAGCTCTGTGTGTGTGAACATACATTTCTCCTTGAGGGGCAATAAAAGTCTAAAGTCTAACTGACTTCTGTGGCTTATTATTGATTAAGTCTGCATTTTATTTGTTACAGCTCAGGCCTTTTAATGATACTGTCTCTTTAAAGGCCCTATATTAATTCTCTTGAGCTTTAGGCCACGTTATTATGTTTTCACCTTCTCAAAAACATACTTGGAGTTATGTTTTGTTTCATTCACACATGTTTGAGTAATTTATTATTAGTTTGTCTACATCTCCAAAACTCAAAATCCTGTGGTTGTTTTCAAGTTAACATCTACTTTTTACCTTTTTTTCACTAGAGATCGGCAATTTCAGAGCTGAAATGATCCAAATTATTCTAGTGAAGGTGTATGTTTGAGTTAAAAAGACAATGGAGCACTTCTTGTAGATTGTTTTCCATTTGAGAAAAGAACTGCACCTAAATATGCAGGTTTTGTGTGTTAAAACATGTGTAAATGAAACAAAACTCAACTCCAGGTCTGTTTGTGATAAGCAAACAACATTTGCACATACACGACTGGTCAAAAGTTTTAGAACACCACAATTTTTCCAATTTTATATGGTTTACTGTTGACCAAAACATATTCTAAACTTTTGATTCATTAATGTGTGTCCAGCTTTGGCAGATATAACAACTGAACACACAGGTCGTGGCTCATTCAAATATTCTTCATAAAGTTCTTCCCAAGTCTGTTGCAGAAGTTCCCATAAATGTGTTGCACTTGTAGGTTTCTTGGCTTCACTCTTCTGTCCAGTTCATCCCAAACCAGCTCGATGGAGTTTAAGTCTGGAGACTGTGCTGGACACTCCATGTTTTCAAGTTTAACATCTTGTTCTTTTTTCCTGAGGTAGTTTTTGCAGAGCTTGGACTTGTGTTTTGTTATATTTAATCTTTTTTTTAACCTCTGGCTGTTCAGTTCTTACCTTTGTATCATTTCAAGCTCTTCATTGGACTTTCACGAATTGAATTGCACTAAATGACTGGTAAAATTAGGGTGTTCTAAAACTTTTGACCGGTAGTGTACGTAGATAAGAAAATAGCGTAATATGGGCCCTTTAAAACCCTTTATCTCAATATTTCCTGTAGCGATATATCGGGCTTCAAAATTTGGCGTAACTCTACACACCTCTGAACCTTTTTCTCAAATACACTTTGTTTTTATGCCTCTTCCATAGGACACTGCCATACATCCTGCGGCAGTGCACCGACCTGGTATCACGCACCTCCCTGGCACCCGGCCACGTCTCACCTGGCTCACACCTGGCACCCATGCACACATTCGAACTGGTTAGTGAACACACGTCTGTTGTGTAGCTGTCACATCACTCGACACTTTTTATTCTTTTATGTTCCCTGTTTCCCGTCTCTCCAGGCTTCGCAATCCGCAGCAGCCGAGCCACAGTGTGGACGCGTACACGGGCCTGGTGTCTGTAAATGTGCCACACTTCTCCCTCCCGCCAACAGGTGGGGTGTCGCAGGCTCAGATCGGGGGGATGGCCTCGGGGTGCTTCGTCGAGGAGAGGAGAAGAGGGGCGGGGCTGCCGGAGGAGTGCAGTGAGTATCAAATGTGGTTAAAGGTCCCATATTATGTTATTTTCTGGTCTGTTATAATGTTGTTTCCTCATCACAAACATCCCTGGAGTTGTAAAAATTTGTGATATTGGAGTGCTGCACTGGATCAAAACTTACAAATGCAGAGATAAAAGAGGATGGCAGAGGATGTATTTATTTGTGGTCACAGCAACGCGTTTTGACTACTCATGAGTCTTCATCAGGGCTGATAGAGACTTGGAGTTGTGTTTTGTTTCATTCACACATTTTTAACGCATAAATCCTCCATATTTATAGCTAGGCTGGCGCCACCTAGTGCCTTCACTCAATTTAATTTCTCTCCAGTGATTAGGTCAGGAATCGGAATACACTAGACCAGGCATGTCCAAACTATGGCCCAGGGGCCAAATGCGGCCCTCAGACAAGTTTTCTTGGCCCTAAGACTTCCAGGTGAATTGGCCCAAATTACCTCGTATCAATTAAAAAATTATATTTTACTGCAAGTTTTTTGAAAATCTACCTTGATAAAGCTAATATTTAATATTTAGTGTGTGGTTTTAAGGATCTTAGCATGAATAAAGACACATGGCTCATTCTAACGTGTTAAACATGCACACATGTCTACAGTCTACAGCCCTCAATCGGCCCTCTGCTTCGTCTGTGTTTATATATGTGGCCCTTGATGAAAAAAGTTTGGACACCCCTGCACTACACAGTTTGCAAAAACCCCGGAAGTGCGAGTTTGGGCACCAGCCAATCAGCGAATAGACATACATTCTGTGTTGGCAACGATTTCCAAGATTGAGGATTTAAAGCCGGAACAAAGAGAATATTTGGTGAATTTTATCAAGAGGAAAGACGTTATTGCCCTTCTTCCTACGGGATTTGGAGCATTACATACGTCACGACCAAATAGCAGCGATTGGTTGAATAAAAAATAAAAGGCCTTCGCCTTTCACTATTTTTCAATTCCATTGGGAAGGGAAACAGTTTGAATGGAGGTTTGCAGTCACACACATCTGATTCCCTTTTGCATTATGGAGGTCGCAAACAAATTTCTCGAGCCGTTTTCCGCTGTCAGGACATCCGACAACCACACAATTACAATGTCCGAATCCCAAAACTAAAATATGACAATATCAGAACCAGAAACAAAAGTGATATGGTTCAAAAGACTTGAAAAGATCAGCTTTGTCAATAGACACATCCCACTGTAAAATCAAACATGACGGTTTGATGCTCACTTTTTCGGAGAATCCTTCACAGTATGCATGACCAGAAGTCTGACATTCTTGATGCGTGTATTCCAGGGCTGAAATTCTCCAAATGATAGAACTTGGGCTTAGTACGCAGGGTTTGTGTGTTAAAAATGCGTGAATGAAATAAGTTTGTGATGAGGAAACAACATTACAGCATAGATCAGAAAATAGTTCATTAAGTTATTTTGGCCATTTTTATTTTTCAGTAGCTGTTAACTTGACCTGCTTCATGACTTCACAAGGTGGAGCAGAGCATTTTGAGCTTTGTAGCTGTCGACAGGCTAATACCACACTCAAGAATTTGCATATTAGTGTTTCCTTTAAAATAATATGTATTTTTTTCACTCTAGGCGTAAGGAAAGCTATAATAATTATGGCATGCATGTTATAGCAAATGCGTGAGTGCGTCAGTGATGTGTCAGATCCATGAGATAAAGATCTGTTTATGGTTTGATCATCTGAACTGTGACTTTGCCTGTCATGACCAAGTTGCCAAGTTGCCAGCAGGTGGGGTGTCACTGGCTCAGGAGAGGAGGAGGAGAAGGGTGGGGCTGTCGGAGGAGTGTCATGAGTTTCAAATGTGGTTAAAGGGCCCATATTATGCTATTTTCTGGTCTGTTATAATGATATTTCCTCATCGCAAACACCCCTGGAGTTGTGTTTTGTTTCATTCACACATGTTTGACACAGAAACGCTGCATATTTAGGTTGAGTTCGTCTCTCAAATGGCAAACACTCTGTTCCACCTTGTGATGTCACGTGGTAATACATGAATCATAATGCTCCACTGTGTTTTTAAACTCCATGCGCCTTCATTAGAATCATTTGGATAATTTCAGAACTGGAATTGTCAATCTCTACAGAACAAAAGGTCAAATGTAGCCAGACCGACACCACACTAGTGCCTCCACTCAGTATCATTTGTCTCCAGCGACTAAGTCAGGAATCGGAATACACTAGACCAGGCATGTCCAAACTATGGCCCGTGGACCAAATGCGGCCCTCAGACAAATTTTTCTTGGCCCTCAGGCTTCCAAGTGAATTGGCCCAAATTACCTTCAATTAAAAATGAACTTTTAATGGCATGTTTTTGAAAATCTACCTTAATACTTAATATTTAGTGTGGGGTTTTACGGATCTCAGCATGAATAAAGACTGAGGACTTATTCTAATGTGTTAAACATGCACATATTTCAATTATTCACTGTACTGAGCACCAGGCTACAGCCCTCGATCGGCCTTCTGCTTCGTCTGTGTTTAGATATGTGGCCCTTGATGAAAAAAGTTTGGACACCCTTGCACTAGACGGTTTGCAAGAACCCCGGAAGTTGTAGACCACGCACCAGTCAATCAGTGAAGAGCTGTGAAGCCATGACGTCAAACTCAAGCCTCTGTCTGGGTCCCTTTTGTGGAACAGCACAACAGTAAACAAAGCGGCCGAGATGATTGTAGATGAAGACATACATTCTGTGTTGGCAACGATTCCTGAGATTGAGGATTTAAAGCTGGAACAAAGAGAATGTTTGGTGAATTTTATCAAGGGGAAAGACATTATTGCCCTTCTTCCTACGGGATTTGGAGCATTACATACGTCACGACCAAATAGCAGCGATTGGTTAAATAAAAAAAAAGTACTTGCTTACCTTCGAGTGAACGAATCCTAATGCTGCGAGGTCAGACGGTTTCCACAAAGTGAAACTGGCTGATGAAGGAGCTGTTAACCTGAAAATTACCTCTTCATGACACCACGAGTTAGAACAGAGAATTTTGGGCTTTGGAGATGCAGTCAGACTAATAAAAAAGGATTACTCAGACATGTGTGAATGAAAAAAAAAAACAAAAAAAACTCCAGGTCTGTTTTTGATGAGGTAACAACATTATAACATGGCCAAACGCTCACAAGAGTCAAATTTGTGTAATATAGGACCTTTTAAGTCGCTGTACCTGATATTTACTGTCAAAACAAGTTCATTTTAAACATTTTGCAGTGGTCCAAAGTAATTGCTCACTTAGCTTATGCATTCTGAGCATCCTAATGATTCACCACGATGAGTTTATAAGTGCTCTTCACAACTTTCAGACGCCGGAGCAGTGAAGCCAAGATGATAAAACTAACAATATCTAATGCTTCATAATTCGATGCACACGGTACACAGACTTATTCAGATCTCAAGAGCTGCTTATACAATATATCTGTAGTGTCAAAAAATTAAAAAAAAATAGTTACAGAGCCTTTAACTGACTGAGCCGAAAAGGTCCTGTAAGCGTTGTAACAAATCCAAATCCACTTTATTTTTATAGCACATTTTACAAACAAAGCAAAGCACAGAGATCAATAAAATGAAGACAACAAAAAGTTAAATCGCTAAAATTAGATCATACCAGTCCTAAAACAATAAAACCAGACAAATCAAATAACAACAAAACCACAAAACTCATAAAATAGCAGTAAATAAGTAAAATAAATAAAAGACAAAAAACAGTAACAAACAAAAAAAAAATGTTCATGTGGTGCCAACTTTTAACACTGTGGCTGCGTCACCAATTCAATAATTACAAAAATCCACAGCACTGATTTAAAGGTGCACTGTGTAACTTTTTGGTTGGGGGGCCCGTCGCCGGCTTGTTTCTATGGATACGTCATTGCTCTGCCTGGAATGTTCTGCAGTGTGACATTAAACAGTTCTATTTTACTTTTATTCAATTACAGGTGGTTTTATATCTCAAAAATACCTAGAAAAATGTCATTCTTACGTTTTGCAGGGTTGCCTCTCCACAGATCTGACCTGTAACTTGGTCTGGTTTGGTCTCTGTGAAGATAGAAAGGTTTAATGCCACACTGTGAAACATCTCAGACAAAGATGTAACATCGTCATGGAAAAAAATATCTATGGACCCGGCCGCTCCTCACAACACGAGTCACGACTTCACCCTGCACAACATAAGGTCTTAAAATATACATCATGTCTCCAGTGCCTTTATGTAATGTAAACTTGAAGCCAAACAGATATTATGAAAGTTCTCCATCATTATCCTACTCTACCTCATCAAACACATCCCTGGAGTTGTGTTTTGTTTCATTCACACATGTTTGCTTACTGGGAATCCTTTAAGTCTGTCTGCATCTCTAAATCTCCAAATGGCTGCCCATCTCTTGACTGGCATGAAGAGACGAGACCACATCATGCCCAATTTCCAAGCACTGGCTAAAAACACCCTCAAGAATTTGCATATTAGTATCGCCTTTACAAAAGAATAGCTTTATTCTTTTCATTATTGCCATAGTAAAAGCTATAATAAAAAAATTCCTACACTCCCTCCCTGCCATCTATCACCGAGCGTGTGAAAGGAGCTCGGACGTGCTCATGCTGGCTCTGAAATTAGAGTCAAAAAAGTGCATTATGCAATGGCAAATATGTGCAACTGTCTTTGATAAGCTTTGGTTATGTTTTGTTAATCTGTATCGTGACGTATTCTGTCATGACCAAGGTGCCAGGTTGATAGGTTTGAGCAGGTCAGGAGCCTCTGGCAGAAACACATGAGATCTCTCAATTATCCATATAAAACAAAAGCTCTTCTGTTAGCATAAATGGGTCATGGTGATTTCTATATTTTAACTTGGGATCTGATATTGATAATGATATTGGTATTGGATATCGGAGCTGGTACTGAAAAATGTGCTGGATTGGATATTAGCTTCCACCGGTCTTAGGATCCAAATCGTTTGGATTCGTTCATGTCAGAAGACCTTTCAGGAACACGGTGGCAGGCCATCCACCAGAAAAGTTACATAGTGCACCTTTAATGTCAAAGTTACTACTGTGAGGTGTAGGGCTGAGCAGTTAATTGAGTTAATATGATTAATTTGTGTTTTTAATAATCGAGATTTTGAAAAATAGCAAAATTGTGAAATCAAAGATTATTATGAAACAAGTTTACTTCTTTACTTAAACAAGTTACTTTAAAAGCAGTTTATTGTGCAGGTACAATTAGAGGTCATTCTACAATTTCTTAAATAATAATAGCATATGATAAAAATTTAAATGTAAGAAGCTTTTGTGTTTGAAATTGGAGCAGTTCCTGCTCTGATTTTGTTTAAAGTCGATTAAAATCGTATTCGTCCAGTGTGTGCAAAAAAAATCAAGGTTTTATTTTCTGTAATTCTCTAATGAGCTGCATTATTCCTTCACTCCTTTGTCAAGTGCAAAGCCTGTAATAATATATAATACCACACTGGTCCACGTGAGGAAGGTCAAGACAGAAAAACACATGGCAAACTGCCAAAATGAAATAATATAACTCAGGTCAGTGATAATGTTATGCCGTCATGTGAAAGAATGAAACCTGGCAGCATGGCTTTCCACTGACTAAGAAAGAGAATGTTTAGAACAATGGTTCATTCAGAGCATTCAAATGTCATAATTACTGAGTATGTCCTAATTACTAATGGCTGTTTTTATTGCAGGAAATATCTTCATCACCTACTCATCTGACGCCTCCTCAGACGTCCTCCCATTTGCGGAATTCTTGACCAAACACGGCTTCCGACCCACTGTAAATGATCAAAGTTTACATATGATTTTTATTTAATTATTTTAGTTTTATCTATTTATTTTTTCTGTTTATTTTCTTTTTTTTAAAAAAGCTGTCAATTTTAGATTTTAACTTTTACCTTTTAAAAGAAATAGAAATGTCTCAAAGTTGGCATCAAACAAGAATAAATGGCATAATTCATTAAATACATTTTTAATATTACCCTTTAGACACCATGAATGTGAACAGATTTTTTTGCATGCTTTACAAATTTTGATTTGTTTTTTGTTTTTTTGCAGATTGACGTAGTAGACGTACCTGTGAACTGCACGGACATCAACAGCTGGAGAGACAGGTTTCTAAAAGATGTGAGCAACTACTGAAAAATGTATTTAATTGAATGAATATTTGATAAGTCCTAAAATGTGTTGTGTATTTCCAAAGCCCTCTACTCTGATCATCATTGCCATCAGCCCCAAGTACAAAGCAGATGTGGAGGGGATTGCAGTGGACAGTCAGGGCCTGCACACGAAATACATTCACTCTATGGTAAATGCTTCATGGTACTGATCAAATGGGTTTTCTACAGTTTGTTAATATTTAAAATGATTCCCATATGTTTGTGCTTTTCAGATGCAAAATGAGTTCATCCAACAAGGCAGCTTGAATTTCAGATTTATACCTGTTACATTCCTAAACGCATCCCAGGTAAGAAACATAGTGAGACAAGTAGATAGAGAGATTCAGTTAATAGATGGGCTGAAGGAGGATTGTGGCATCATGGTGAAAGGAGAGACAGTGCATTTGTATGAATGGCTGAAGAGGTGATTGGTTTATACCAGGGGTCTACAACCTTTTTCTTTCGGTGAGCTACCTTTACAAAGCAAAAATGCCAGAGAGCTACTTTTAGCAGTCACCAGAAATTAAGTAAATATAAGAGCCATGGCTTTTGATGCTTATAAAACATAAACCACTATCCATTTATTAAAAGTTAGGCATCAAAATTACACATTTACAATGGTAATAGACATTTAATTCATCATATTTGAGTTAATCAGCACAATATGTATAATTCAGCACTCCCTTGGCGTCAGTCCCAGGGCGGCTGTGTGTAAAATGACAGCTTAATGTGAAGGAATAATGATGCCAGTGTAGGACTTTGAGGCTCTCACAACCCGGTAAAGCACATTACAAGTGTAAGTCATTATTATATTATTATAACAAGGCACTGATAACCGGCACATGACCACAGTACTAAATCCAAACTGAGTATTGTGATTGTGAGCATTATGATTTCACATAGCATTTCAAAATTTCCATATGCATTTTTGTGACCAACTTCTAATAGAGGTGTAACGATATCCAAGTCTCACAGTTTAAACCCCACGGTACGATATTTATTGCAAAATCGTGGGAAAGTTCACAATATGGTGGGGAGGCTCACGATTAGGGATGTAACAATATCCAATAATAAAATAACAATATATATGATAATTGCCTTGACAAGACTTGAACCAAAGAACTAAGGCTTAAAAGTGCTTAGAACTGTTATTGCTTTTTGTAGTCTGCACTGAAATGGAGCAAAGGATCATGGTCTATGTAGTTCCCTCTGTCTTTTTTTTTAGCTATTGCTGCACCATAACTCTTAATTTAAAGGTTGTATGGAGGATTTTTTTTTTGTTTCAAATTGTCAATAATAGCATTATAGAGATGCAGTAGCCTTGTAATTATGATGACCAAAAAAAAGAGAATAAAAATTCATGAACTCTGGACGTGGTGGGGCCAGCTAAACATTTGCCAATAGATAACGACACTGCCTCGTTATCTGTTAGCTGACAGGCTGTCAATCAAACTCCCTACGTTTCTAGTGTAACTGACTTGCCTGCGCGCCGCCGGTACGTGGTTTGCGTACGCCTGTCACACAGTCCACAGACGCAAGACGCACAGACGCTGTTTACTCCACTAACGCAACAGTTCTTAGCGGCTTTTTTGACCTACATCTTCCTCGCAGTTAGCACAAAGTTTGTTGCAATGGCAGACAAGAATCCAGGAGCAGTTAGCCGCAAAAGAAAGTCCAGTTTTTGAGGTCGCTGAAAGAAGAAGACAAGGGGAAAAGCAGCGAAGCCAAACTAAGGTGATTCTTGAAGATTCATTCCAGCGATGGCGCAACTGAAGCAGACGCAGGGTCTAAAGACTGACGCACTGGTCGCCAAATTACTCCTGGACAGGTAACTTCTGCTTATTATGAAAACGTACTTTATTTCCAAGAGCTAGACAAACGTTTTTCAGGACACGAATGCGATATCCTATGTCTGAAAACGTAATTTTCAAGGCAAAGAAAGAGTCCGCTTGCTGCTGCGTGTTGTAGCTAGTTCATTCGCACTGAATCTCCACGCACCCTTCTCTGCACCCTTTCCTGCTCCTCTCCCCGCTGCCCGTTCCGCTCTTCCCCCTGTTCCTCACTTCTCCGGGCACGGAATCTCCGCGCACCGCTCCCCTCTCCTCTCTCCTCTCTCCCTGCTCCGCTCTTCTCCCTGCTCCTAACTTCTTGTCCGTGCACGAAATGTCCGCGCACCCGCTCCCCCCGCTCCTCACTTCTCCGTCTTGCCTAACCAACACTGTAGTTAGTTGTTTACAAGTCATGTGCAGCGCACCGGCTGTAAACAAACCTGTTTCTGGCGTAAGGAGGAGGCGGGAGGAGGCGTTTCTACGTAGGAGCTGTAGGGGAGGGGGGGTGGTTTCACGCATGCGCAACATTTGAAAAAGGACAAACAGTCGCTGGATTTCTCGTTCCTTGGAAAATCCTCTATACAACCTTTAAGCAAAGAGACTTGTAATTCAATATATTGTGATGGTCAACGATATTATTGTGAGAACTTTGACGATACGATATCACGATATTTAGATTATTGTTACATCCCTGACTTCTAAATTATATTATATTTTAATATAAATCTGGGTTAGTCTTGATCTAAACTGGTTTAGTCTTAGGCCTAGTTTAATTAGTTTACCCTTAACCCATGACAACAAATACCCATGAATTATACCCATGAACGGGTTTAGTTTAGTCTTGGTTTAATTTCATTTAGACTGGTTTTGTCATTAGTCATTATTTAGACTAATTAGACAAATTTAAGGTTTTGTCTTGTTTAACCTTAATTTAGTCCTAGTTTATTCTTGTTTTAATCCACATTTAGACCTGATTCAGTCCTGGTTTCGACCTATAATGTACCTATTATCAATGTCACATGTCATTTGACCCCTGTCTCCCCTGCACCTGTCAGGAGCATGTGCCCTGCTGGCTACAGAACACCATAGTCTACCACTGGCCCCGTCACAGTGAGGACCTCTTACTGCGGCTGCTGCGGCGAGAGAGATACGCCCCGCCCCCCGTCACCAAAGAGATCAGCGTCATCATCCAGCCGGTGCCCCTCTGTGCCACCACGCCCGCACTCCGGCCACTATAGACCTGAGTTACTCCTACAGTAGCATATATATTTTGTAAAACTCTCATATACTCTTTGGAAATGTCACTGCTTAAAGCTAAATTGTTTATAGTCATTAAATAGATGCCATCAATCAAATTAAAGTTTGAGTGCTGCATAAATCAATTTTAGTTCCTGCAGGGCTGCCGTCGCTGTTCACATGATTTTATAAGAAGGGCGTGTTGTATCCAGTCTCTTCTTGGACTCCATTAATACTTAAACAGCCAGCTTCTTTATCAAAACTATTTTACTGCTACTACAACTTCTGCTACTGTGATTTTTCAACAGCTCTTATCACAGTGACAAATGACATCCGCCTTAACACTCACCACGTTTACAGACACGCCAAAAATAATATATTACTGGCCTAGTGCAGTTTAAAGGGCACAGGTTACACTATTTTCTCATCTGTTATAATGTTATTTCCTCATCACAAACACACCCGGACTTGTGTTTTGTTTCATTCACACAAGTTTAACGCACAAACCCTGCGTATTTAGGCGTATTTAGAGTTCTTCTCACAAGCCGAAAACACTCATGTCATGTGGTAATACAGGAAGTGCTCCACTGTGTTTTTAAATGCCACACACCTTCACTAGAATCGCTTGGGTAAGTTCAGCTCTGGAATTGCCAATCTCTACTGAACTAAAGGTAAAACGTAGCTGTTAACTTGAAAACTACTTCTACATAATGACACAAGTTGGAACAGAGTATTTTGAGGTTTGAAAATGTAGGCAGACTAATAATAACGGGTTACTCAAACATCCATCCATCCATCCATCCACTTTCTTTTGCTTATCCGGGTGCCAGGTCACGGGGGCAGCAGTCTAAGCAGGGACTCACAGACTTCCTTCACCCCAGACACTTCCTCTAGCTCCTCCAGGGGGACCCCAAGGCGTTCCCAGGCCAGCAAAGAGACAGTCCTTCCAGTGTGTCCTGAGTCTTCTCCGGGGCTGCCCAGAACACCTTTGCCAGAAGTCATCCAGGAGGCATTCGGAACAGATGCCCGAGCCTCAGCTGGCTCCTCTCAATGTGGAGGAGCAGCAGCTCTACTCCGATCTTCTCCTGTGTGACTGAGCTCCTCACCTTATCTCTAAGGGAGAGCCCAGCCACCCTGCGGAGTTAACTCAATTTGGCAGCTTGTATCGATGGCAATCTTGTCCTTTTGGTCATTACCCAAAACTCATGAACATAGGTGAGGGTAGGAGCATGGATTGACCGGTAAATCGGTGAATTGAGAGAATAAAGTGTTTTTAGTTTAGTTTAGTTTTTGTTTTTTTTTGCTTTATTTATTTATTTAAAAAGGACTATGCATATTCATGAACATATACTTGTAAATACGCCAGAATTAGCCCAAAGGGTTACTCAGACGTGTGAATAAAACAAAACACAACTCCAGGTTTGTTTTTGAGGAGGTAATAATATTATAACATGGCTTAAAGCTCACGAGTCCATTTTGCGTAATATAGGACCATTAAACCGATTTCATTGAAAATGTATGTAAACCATGGAACTACGATTGAAGTGTCGAGAACTGAATCTCAAAAATCACAATAACCCATCTGGAGAAGTCGGTACATACTGGGACACTTGCTGCATGTAACTGTGCAGTCTGATTTACATTGGGCACAAACTAGGAGAGGCATTCAACTGCAACGGGTGAGGAACAGCCAGGAAATTATTCAGGGTGTTTTGATGTTTACTCATTCTTTTTAGATCCACAGACTTGCACATGTAGTCTCATTGTTTGTGATTAACGTGAAAATGAAAACTAGACCTAAAACTTTGTGAATGATGTAGCCTAGCATGTCTAAAAAAGCCCCAAATGCTCAGCATAAATGAGATGCCGCTTACCTTTGTTTTCCTAAAGGGTGGCTGTGGGTTAATTTTTATGGCACTGCTAAATCACTAGATGCACCTGAACGTCTCATAACCTCCTGTTCGCACCCGTTCCATCCTTTGATCTGTTGAAGCCCGGGCCAAGAGGTCTGACAGATTTGGGGATTTTAACTTAATTATTTTAGTGCACCGTGGTAACTGTAGGGACCGACATGGGCAGGGCTTTAATCCTGTTAGATGTTAGTGCTGCTTTTGGCACTGTTGATAATGATATCCTCTTACAGAGACTAGAGGACTGTGAGGGCATCTCTGCTACTGCCCTAATTTGTTAAAGTCAGAGTTTATCCAAGCTTGTTAGACCAAAAACCACTTCAAGAGCATTACGTTTTTCAAGGGCTGCCAATTCAGAAACATATCCTAAAGATTCAAAGTTATTAGTAAGGTATTAAGTCTCACCATGTCTCAGATATATGCTTTTAAACTGATAGTGAGACACAGGAAGAAAAACCTCTGTATTTTCAAGAAGGAGATGTAAAGAAAGTAACTTTTCTTTAGGGATGCACCAATACCACTTTTTTGAAAACCGATACGAGCATGAGCATAATAATTTCTGTACTTGCCAATACTGAGTACCAATACCGATACTTTAACCTCCACCCCCATGAACTTACAATGACAATAAAAGGAAATACAGATTTTATTTTTACTCTCTGATCATTATACAATTTGATGCATAGTTAGCATAGCCAACTTAGCAAAAAGTGAGTGACACTATTAGTCTGCACTTTTGAATTCAAACAAGAATGAACTGAACACTTTCTCCAGCTTTCAAGTAAACAAGTAATCACTTTAATGGTGTTGCCACGTCTTAATTAAACTAAGGAGTAACACCACACACATGATATCAGTCGTAAAGCTTATTGACTCGACATCCTGTACCACTGACCTAACGTGAGTTTGAGCAGCATCGAACACATTAGGCAACATCACATTTTTGATGTAGTGACGACTGGGCAGCTCGTATCTGGGCTCTAGAACATCTATAAGAGACGTTGAAACCCAATATCATCGATGACTGAAAGTGGCTGGTCATCCAGTGCAGTGTAGTGGGTAAGTGCCTCAGTTATTTTTGTTTAGTGCTAACTGTGGTTAAAGTTGGCAGTTGACGGCCAGTGCTGCTTTGGTGAACTTGTGTACTTATCACTGTGCTGCGTCTTCAAATGTTTGATTAAATTGCTCATATTGAATGAGGTGTTTTCCCTTCCACCTCTTGACACCTCGGCACTACATAATTTGCAATCCGCCTTACTCCCGTCGTCCTCCCTAATACTAAAATAATTCTAAATTGCTGATGACGACATGATTGAGCATTATTTGCGCAGATGATGAGCTGTGTCTTCTGACTTTTTGTCTTCCCTTAGACATTGAAGTCGATAGGACAACAAAATGGCCTCCTGAACGTGAACAGTGTCGTGTAATAGTGGTATCGGTGCATGGTATTGACAAATGTTTAATGAGTATGAGTATATTAAGGAAGTATCAGGCCGATACCAGTATCAGTATCGCTGCATCCCTAGTTTTCTATTTTTAAACATGTCTCAAAGGCTACTGGATAGGACTTCACATCTGGTTCAAGCAAGTACTTTGTTGAAAGTGGAAACTGTGGCTCAGATCACATGGTCCTGACCTGTGGGGTCCCCAGGGGTCAATCCTAGGACCCCTACTGTTCAATCTCTACACACTGCAGCTAGGCCAGTTAACCCAAGGGCCCACAGCGATGAAAACTTGCCAAAGGTAAGTTCTGTGCTCAGGTCTCTGCACCAGCTCCTCAGAGAATAGACTTTAAAGCAGCTCTACTTGTGTACAAGTCTCTCCATGGTAAAGCACTTTGAATTACTTTGTGTACGATGAGTGATCTACTAATAAACTTGCTGTGTTTACTGTGTAATTAAGTAATCTAAGTAAATCTGGAGTTGCATTCCACCTGTCAGTAATTTATTTATTTCCTTGCAGTAATTATTTAATTTGCATTGAAGCCTCTCCAGAGATATGAGTTGTAACATGACATCATGGCATCACTTTTATGTATCCAAGGAGATGCGTAAATGTTTAAAGGGCTGTTTTCCAATCTATGTTATGATTTTGTTTTCTCATCACAAACATATCTGGAGTTGTGTTTTATTTCTTTCACACAAGTTTAACACACAAACCCTGCATATTTAGGCTTCTAGAGTTCTTCTCCCAAACAGAAAACAATCTGTTCCATGAAGTGCTCCACTGTGTTTTTAAACTTCATAAACCTTCACTAGAATCATTTGAATAATTTCAGCTCTGACTAAGACTGGCTCAACATCTGGAGACAGGTCCCCAAGCGCTGTACTGCAGTAGATCACTGGTCCTGACAGGTAGCCCCAGCAGCACTGGTTGAAGGATGCAGAGAAGGAATTTCCCTCATTTTATCTTTAATTAGAAATTGATTTATTAAATTACACGTGGGTTTTATAGCTCAAAAATATCTAGAAAAACAGGTATTCTGATTTTGAGCGGGGTTGTCTCTCCACAGATCTGACCTGTAGCTTGGTCTGGTTTGGTCTCCATGAAGATAGAAAGGTTTAATTCCAGACAAAGCAATAACATCTCCATGGAGAAAAGCATTTGACGGATCCTCCACCCCAAAAGTTACACAATGCACCTTTAAAGCAAGTCCTAATGATTTTATCTAGGACTTAACCTGGTACCACATGATTTAGAAAGCACTTTTTTTTTTTAATTTTTTTTTTTTTTAATTTATTTGTTTGAGCAAGGTAAATCAAAATCAACAACACTAACAAAAAAACAAAACAAGGATATGTACATGTGCATATTTGGACCTCGTGCTCAAAAGGATGAAGTTAAAAATATATATATATTGTCCTGCCCGAACTGATGCACTTGGAGCCCACACAGGAAATGTTTATATGTTTTGTTTTTCTAATAGAACTCCCTCCACATTTTTTTGTATACCCGTCTGTACCCAACCAGCAGGGGGCTTGATCCAGGCCAGGGCCACCCCTCCAGCACCAAAAAAGGACCTTTGGCTAAGAATATCCCAGGCCGTGCGGCGAGATAGAGTTACCCTCCTCCTCCTCCTCCCCGGCCTTATCCCTGACCTATACCCATGTGAGGCGCCACTAACACGGGGACGGCCCTGCCACCGCCCCCCTCCTCCCCCTGCCCTGCTCTTTGACTACCCCACTGC